AGCACAACCCTCTCCAACTTTAGGGGTTTCATTCATCTCTGTTTGGTCATCTAGGCTAAAGCCAGGCGGCCTCTTTAAGCAAGGTTGGTCAGTGAGGACATCAGCTCGTGATACTGAAAGCTTTTGGGGACCTTCCCTTGTCCCTCTCTAAGTCTTTGTAGGCACAGCTTTTGCAGTATAATCAATGTCCACTTGTGCTTCCCCAGCACAAATATGTGTCCTGAGAGATTTTCTGAAATATATGAGCTGGGGAGATATATATGCACTGGTACATAATTTTATTTCCTTGTGCTGAGGCTTCGCTAACCTCTTTACCAATACTTCAGGCTTGATGTTGGAGGACTAAACTAAGGGAGTGTGCCTGTGTGCTGTATCACAGCTTAGGTCCTTAGCTGACCCCATGCTGAAGTGAGTGCAGAGCTGTTTTATGCCTTGCCCTGTGTCTGTGGCACTTGGGTCAGCACGTAGTTACAGTGCTCCTGAAACTCAAGCCTGTTTGTGCTGTTGGGCTCAGCAAGGATTGTGCCCCAGCTGTGGGACTAGGTCCCAGGGCAGGATGTCCAAGCTCAGCATATTCTTCTGAGCCCGTCTGCCCCTGCCATATGCCTTGGCATGGGCTCTCTGGTCTCAAGCAGACAGCTTGCTGTATTTCTGAGGTTGGGTTGGCAGGGGCTCACTGTGCGCCGATGCACGCAGTCTATAGCCATGCTACTTCATTGAAGGTGACAAGGCACATCACTGCTGACACTGCAGCTCAGGTGGAGTGCAGCAGTAAAGCTTGAGTCTTACCACTGAGAGCTTCTACCAGGAGCCCTTGGGCTTGTCCTATACAGTGTAGAGGACCAAAGGATCTCTACATAAAAGCAAATCTTCCTAGTGTTCCTAACACAACCCTAGTGCTGTCAGCTCCTCAAACTGCCGATTGCTATGTGCGTTGGAAGGTGAACAGCCCTTTTTGGATGAAGAGAAGCCCTCTCTGAGGGCAGGGGAGAGGGAACCTCACTTTGATCCTTTGGGAAGAAAAGGTGGGTAAAGAAATCCAGTAAAACCTTAAACTTTGAATTCAACAAGATGGGGAGGTGCAATAGGCTAAGCTTACATAAAGAAATTCTAAAGCTCTGTGGAGGTCCTTTTGGGATCCTATGAACTGCAGGGTTAGAGCTCTTGAAACCACTAGAAGATAGTGTTTGGCTTATGACCTTACCAAGGGCAGAGAAAGCAGCCTTGCTCTGTAAAGGTTTGGAAAGTGTTCCAAAACCCATTTTACTTTCCATTTTAATAATTACAGCTTGAGGGTCTGTCTGTGTTCTTAATAAACAAATATTTCTCCACTGAGAGTTTTCTTCCATAGCAGATTGAGCCAGCTGGGGAAGTAACTAGTCAAAGCTTTCCCTTCCTCGGGGTAAGCTTTAAATTGCATTTGAGAAGATTTGGAAATGTTTAAACTGCACATCCTTGGCCTATGTTTCTTTAAATATGTCTTGAAACAACCACAACCAAACCCAGGTTTAGCTCGAACTAAAGCCATAGGAAGTGAAATCATCAAAAACTCTTTGGGAAAGTGTGTCAAAATGCGTTAGAGAGTTTCAGCTTTCTGAAAAAGTAACTGGCAAAACTCTCTAGAGGGAAGTTGGCTTCATTTATGCTTTCGCAATACAGGTTGAGCATGTGGGGTTCAGGATGAACCATAGTCTTGGTGGGGTTGGGTTCATGCCAGAACTTGCAAACGAAATTCATGCTTCTCCTGCAGATTAAAACAGAACAAATAGATTGAAGTGTCACATCCTGTGGGAGATACCAAAAGCAAGCTGTGGAAGATGAGGATGGTGTGGTAGTAACTCTCCTCCTTCTTGTGTCCTATTAGCACATGATTCCAGGGGCTCTGTCCTCCCTTATCCTGCCCAGGTTGCATCCCTCTAAGTGATGTATCACGGTGAATAGCATGATTGTGTGTAGCCAGCTCCTGCTTTTGCAGAGACACCACAGTAGAGTGCCCCACTGAAGCTGCTTCGAGGGTAGCTTTGCAAAAGACTCAAAGAACAACAGGGCTTTGAAACAGGTGTCGTTAGGAATTGAATCTGAAAATACCTGGTTTTTGAAAAGGTAGTGCCCAAGTAACGCAGTGGCATTGTGACAGAGGTGGAGATTGAGCCTGAGCTGACGCATCATAGGCTTTGAACTATGTCAAGCTGCTCATGTTCCCTGTCAGCTCAGCAGTGTCTCTCAATGTGCAGTTTGCCTAATAAAGAGATAAAAGGGAACATGAGGACTTCCAGTGTTTCATGTGCAATAACTCTGAAGCCTCAAAGGAAGATGGACTGGAGGAGAAGGGGCCAGTGCTGTGCTTGTAATCAAACAAATACAGGGACTTTTCACATTGTTACTCTTAATTGCACTGAGCTTTTTCCTCACTTAGAAGCTGGCAGAAATCTTACTTTCTCCTGTCTTTCTCATTTCCAGAGGAAGCTCATCAGTGTGGAAAAGGTCTCCTCATCCACTGCCAGGCCGGTGTCTCCCGCTCTGCCACCATTGTTATCGCGTACTTAATGAAGCACACACGCATGACCATGACGGATGCCTATAAATTTGTGAAAGGCAAACGACCAATCATTTCCCCAAATCTTAACTTTATGGGGCAGTTACTGGAGTTTGAAGAAGACCTAAACAACGGTGTCACACCGCGCATCCTCACACCAAAGCTGATCGGCGTAGAGACCGTGGTGTGACGGCGAGGATGCGGTCAAGGAAGGGGCTTAACCTATTCTTCACCTGATTGGGGGCAGTGATGGGTGGGAGGTGGGTTTTTCTTTTTAGCTTTCAAAGGGGGATTTTGTGGCAAACTTTTTGTGAATAAAAACCTTTTTTTTTTTGTAAGGAAAGGTTTTTAGAGATCCAAGAACTTTGCCGTGTTTGGGATGCTGTTGTGATTTCCTTCCCAGATGCTGGCAGAGCAGGGAGGTTTTGGAGCAAAAAGGAGTACTTTTTAAAATCAAAACAAGATGAAGAAGAAATACTGGGCTTCCCCCCCCCCCCCCCCCTTTTTATTTTTCCCTTCTCTCCAGCTACTTGTAGAGTTTATGGCTAAGTAGTCTGTGCAGGTTCATAGACTGAAGAAACCTAAGTTGAAGACGAAACACAAACAGCCAAAACAGAGCAGAAATAAAACCCCTCCCTGAAACAGAAGGGCCTTCGTTCTGCAAAGGCTTTGCTAAAGATAACCTAGCAAAATGCTCACTGATGCAAAGGAAATTGGAGCAGCTTCAAAAGTCTGCAAGGCACTTTTCACACTCCTGACTCAACCTAAAGACAAAATAAAGAGAGGTTTATTTGGCGTGTTTCATGTTCCAGTTCTATTTTTCTATTTTGGGGTGTAAGGTTTTAACAGTAAGGGGACTTTGATCATTCTATGCCATATGCCTTCACTGGCTTCTTGTGCAATAATAATTTGGGGTTTGTTTTGAGTGTTCAAACCACATACTGTTGGCTGCCTACTAATAATTTTTGAAGTCTACTAGTGCAATGGCAGCGGCTTGGTTCAGAAAGGATAAATGAGAGCAATTATTTTGTTCCTTTATATGATTTTGATCCTGGTTACAGTGCCATAAACCTTGTTACATATGTATATCAGAATGTACAAAGAACGAGCAAAGTTTATTTAAAACTATTTTTCGCACAAAGTATTGGTGTGTTTCAGTTGTCCATGTAAAAAAAAACCCAAAAATTTGATTATAAAACAAAAAATCTTTTGGAAAATGTGTGTCTTTTTATTTCTTTAGCAGTTTTCCATTTTCTTTCCATGGGATGGACTTTTGTTCTGTTGTATTTTTTGTTGCAGTGTACATCTCCCTTTGACAGAACTGGCATCTCTTGTTTGGCATCTCCTCTTCCCTGTTTTGTTCCTGTCCTCTGCCGGTGGAATGTGTTCTCTTTATTTCCTCCTGTACTCCTGCATCCTTAATTTTCTGTAACCGGATTTTTGTCTGCTGGAAGTGCATCAGTTTTGGAGCTGTTCAGCTGAGTTAGCACTATTGGTGAGGGACTTTGGGACAGATGTGTTATTTCTGCAGCTCAGTAGCCATTTGGAAAAATAAGAAATAAACTTTCTCCACCGATTCCTGTTCATATTCCTGCAATTAGCTTATCTTCTGTTACAACACTGTCTGGTTTCTAGAAGTCTGTTAGTCTCGTGTGTGCTTTTCCCTGGCCTCTCTATAGCGCCTTCCTCTAGCAGTTCAGTGATTCCTTCTCCTGGGATTTTCCCCTTTCTCTTGCCTATCTTTCCTTCATCCCCCTCCTTTTCCAGCTGTGTCAGTGTTGTGTGGTGCATATTGTAGGGCTGATGTTTATGCCTGACGGTGTCCCTGAGGCACCTGACTTTTGCTTTCCTTGTATTCTCTTTATTTTCATGGTATGGTATAACCTGATCTCTTCTGGACTGTTACCAACTCTGAAGTTTATTTGTGTGAGCCTAAAGTCACTTAGAAAACATTTCTCGTATCACTCTGTTTGTGCAAACTGATATATCCCGGGAAATCGGGTAGCAGTGAAGGTTTTTCCTAGATGGAAACTTAGATGGGCGAACCAAGTTTAAAACAGGACTTGCTGGAAAACTTATGTATGATCACACTAGACATGTATATTTTTGTGGACATTTTACTTAAAATGTTGTTACTACACAGATATTTTCTTGAAACTTATCCCTTTATTAAATTATTTTTCTACTGGAATTGATTTTTTTAATTGCTTTTTAATACAATCAGTGTTGGTCCTTTTGTTGAGATGCACTTGGCAACATGGTGCCCTGTGGCAAAACCTCTTGGGCTGTGATAGCTGCTGGGGCTGAGTGGTTGGACAGGGAAGTTGCTGTTTGGGAGCCTTGGTGCTCCAGGAGGAAGGATGGTCTCCTCTTTCCCCCTTTACTTTCATTAGGACCTCTTTGTTTGAGGAGGTTAGAAAAACTTCTTTGTTCCTTGACAGAGAAGTAAAAGTAGTTACAGCAGGGCTGAGGGATGGATGAAAAGTTGGTCTTTGCAGCATGTGTTCATGGCCATAAGCTCTACCAGGAAAACAGGTTATTCCTAAGCACAAAGGAGGACAGTTTTTCCTATTAGTACTGTTTTCTTGTCCCTGGGCTAAATGGCCTGATGTGAACATCTCCAGCAGGAGTAAGGAACTACCACACCAGTGTGACTCAGAGCATCCTCTGGTTCACCCTCAGCCACCACACGCTGCCTTGGATCAGGATCAAGTTCACAGCTATGTAAGTTCCTGTGTTTGGTTCTCATTTAAGCCAAAGTAAATCCCTCACAGACTTGAGTAAGTTACCAGTAGGGGAGGATCTGATGCGCTTGCCTTGGTAGGGCTGAGCAGCGCTGGTGCTGCATGCATAGATAGGGAGTTTGGAAGCCTTGCTCAAAAAAAACTTGTCAGCTTTTGTGCTTTTCATGGTGAGAAGTAGTGCCTGGTTTTGTTCTCCAGTGTCATGAACTTGGAGATGATGGAGCAGGGCAATGTGAGGGTGTGAGTGAGTGGAGTTTGCTGTGGGGTCTGGCAGTAGCAGAGGTGGGCTGGAGGAAACTCTCCTTTGTGCAGACGTGTTCCCTTGGAGGGACTGGAGCTGGGCTGGAGGAGAGGAGCTCAGGAGGGTTATGTCCCACTGAAGGCAATGCTTTTATTGAGGCAGAATTTACTTAAGTTAGTGATGGATCACTTGACATCTTTATGCCTGAGGGCAGGAGAAATTCAGTTGGGGTTTGTATGAGACCTGGGAGCCCTGTTTGTATACACGTGTGTTGGGGATGCCTCCTTGTTGGGTACCTGATAACAGTGCGCTGCAAGTACGTGGCTGTGTATCAGTAGAAAACCCCTGTCTGAGCATCACGCTCCTAGTCAGGGAGAAAGAAAAACAGATTTGTCCTCATTTCTAGGAGGAAGCAAGGCTGAAAGGAGGGTGAGTGCCACAGTTGTGAAGGGGCTTAAGCAGATATTGGTGTTGCTTCACCACAGAAACCTCCAGAAAGGTTATTTCTGACTTCAAGGTCAGAATTGAGGCTTGGTCACTGATCCCTTTCACTTATTGCTGGCTGCAGTGCATTCCCAGCCTCTCCAAGATGAGGCACTGTTAAATCAAAGCCCACACTGGGAAGATCAGTCCATAGCCCTTGATGTGCGCACATGGGTGTCAGCATGGACAGGACCTGCTTTTCCCCGCTCAGTGTCAGCACTGTGTGTGAGGTGTGCTGCAGTAGGTACAGTCCTGGAGAATGGATTACCTCATAACTTTGTTTTCCACTTGTCCCCTTTGGGAGCTTGGGGCAGACCCCTACTTGTTTCTGAGAGCATTTCCATCAAGACCTGAGTCTTGTGAGCAGGTCCCCGAGATGCAGCTTGCAAAGAGTATCAGGGTGTTCGGAGCAAGTATTGCTTCTGGCTGGGAATTTCCTTCTCTTTACAAACTGGGTCCTCAACCAAATGGTGAGCTGTCAGTGTGTGAGAGTGCTAATGCTCGCTGTAAATCTGTTAAAGCTAAAACTGGTCAATTCATTGATCTTGCAGGCTAGCTCAATTTTAAGGTTGGACTTTCAGATCAAGAGGTTGTTTTAGCTTTCTGTGCTCAATATCACATAAGCTTTATCCTTCTGGGTCACACCAGGGATTGAAAAATCCCCCTTTTTGTCAAGTCAGTTGATTTTCTGAGGTTTCCTATGACTTTGCTTTTCACAAATGTGCTAACATCCTTCAGGGAAGCACGAATCAGAGGTCCCTTCTCTACCCGCTTGACACATATAGGCCAGGAGTGTTTCAAGATGAAGCAATCGTGTAGGAAGTGTGTTGTTACCTTATGGTCACAGGATCTGCCACCGACTTCTTGTAGGGAGATGTGTTCAAAAGCACACACAGGAGCCAGTGAGGCTGAGATAGGAGCCACAGGGAGGGTGGGAAAGTGCTGAGCACACTTGTGGGGACATTTTGGCCTCAGGTCCCCCTCAGCCCATGGTGGAGCTGGCTCCCAGCAGCAGGGAAGCCTCTGGGAACTGGAGATGCTGATTCAGGAGGGAGGACAAAAATAAAGCATGCTGTCTCTCGGCTGAATTAAGGGGGTAATCAAAGATAACAAGCGGTTGATGGCTGTCTCATTAGCAGGTATCTGCTTTCCTGTGGTGTGTTTACCTGCTGCCTCTGTAGGTAGCACAGGGGAGGTTGGTGGTGCAGAGGTTTTGAGTGGTTTCAGCACAGCCTGGCTTCAGGAGCTGATAAATAGAGCCATGGTTTTACCCCTGAGCATGCAGCAAAGGGAGGTGTTCCCAGGAGTGGTCCTGGGTACTGCCAGCCGCCGGCATCCTCCCACTGCTGGGTGCAATGTTAATCTCTGCTCAATCAGGTGCTGCTTTTGTTGAGGTGTTTCTTCTGCTCTTTCCAGTCTACTGGACTCTTGTCCCAGTGGAGCAGCAGACGGAGGAGCAGGCTCCTTTCTTGTCTTGCTTTAGCTGTCTTCTGCATCTTTCCCAACCCCGCACTTCCTTAGACTAGAGACAAGCAATTTAAATCCAGTCATTTTCAAGCCATACTCCAGCGGGATGAATGTTTTCAGTGACTCTGGTGGGCTCCTGGTTTGATTCAGGTATTATCCAGGCAGCATCTCTCCTAGGTAGGCCAGACCCAATACCTTCTCCTGCAGCAGTTCCTGCCTGAAAGGTTGCAACCACCTTGTTCTAGAAACACGGGATGCTGCTGGGATGACAAAGTGGGTATTTCATTCACCTGTGGGTAGCACTTGGGTGTGTTGTTGGTGCTGCCCAGGGTGGGAGGCTGGTTCACCAGGACTTGCCCAGTGTGCAGACAGAAATGCTGCTGCTGGTTCAGAGACTGATCTGTTCTTAGTATCTTTATGGAGCCAGTATCCTGGAGTATGCAGAGATGTGGTCCCTTGCCTCAGAAGCTATCTGAGCTCATGTTGAGTTTGGCTGGATCCAGTCTGGCTTAAATCTTCCACCATGAGATGCCTGTTTGTTCAGCTCTAGTGTGAGTTTGTCAGTAGTGAGCCTGTGAGCTCCTGCCTCAGGTCTGGGTTCATCTAAGTGACAAGGAAAAATAACCTGAAATCTTATTCCAGGGGATAAAGACTGCTGTATCTGGGAGGGGAGAGTTCAGTGCAGTGCATAAACACTTAAAAAACCCTAACCTGAATCAGGGAGTAAAGTTAAAACATGTAACAAACTAGTTCTGATAGATAAAAGCACTAAACCAGAGGTTAAGTGTAATCTGACTCGTATGCCTTGTCTTCACACTTCTGTACCTTAGCTCCTTTGATTGTCTATATATAAGAGGTGACACTGGAGAGCCTGGATTTATCATGAAGATTTATTTGTCATGGAGAGATGAAGGAGCTGTCTGGCACTTGGGCTTTTCATATCAGGTTGCACTTCTGGCAGATGCCAGTGGAGCGTTTAAAGAAGATCACATTGTAGAGCAGAGTAGTAAGTTGCTATAAGGATGGACAGAGGTTTGTGGGCTCTGAGTAGAGAGACACTGGATTTGTTTCTGGTCCTGATTGTGTACAGATAGATACAAAACATGTAGCCAGAGGCGTAAGCAGCAGCTTCTGTGAGAGCATGTTTGTCATTTGTTAAATCCATTGGGGTGATGGAAGAAGATGCTGGTGTGAAAAACATGAGATATTGGCAGCTGGCTGAGGAGCTTGCCAGCAGCTGTTTGCATTTTCAGAGGTCTGAACAAGGTCTGACAAAGCTTTGCCCTGCTAGCATCCATCTGAAAGCTCTTCTCAAGGCATCCATGTCCAATGCAGTGCTGTGCATCTGCCTCACATTGCTTTGCTCTGTCTTGTGATACTTCAGCTCCTGAGACCAAACTCTCACAGCTATCAATAGCAGTTTGTAGGGATCTGTTTCCAGGGGGATGCAAACAGCTGATAAGGACAATATGGACAGTTTGTGCTCTTTCTCCAAACCTTCCTTGGTTTTCAGCTCTCATCCTGGAGTGGTGAGGGCTCCACTGAACAGCAGGTCACGGTGTGGAGTCCAGCTGTGTTCCAGCTGTTTTATTGCGTATTGAGGATTTGGTACGCAATCACATATATGGAACCTATGTCAGCGAATGTAGGAAGAGAAAACGTTTACAGCTCTATAGGAGCTGTATGTAACATAGTATGTTGGCTATAAGACAGGATTGGGCTTCTTTGGGAGTTCTCTCTGCCCCTGTGTATCACCCATACTTGTAAATGACACTGTGGAAGCAGGAGGCAGGACCTCATCCTTTACATGGGTGTTATCCATCCCATTTTGTAGCTGGGGCAGATGAGAGGGATGTCCATGCTTGTGCACTGGAGCGAGGAACAGAGCCCAGGAGCTAGAACTTCTCTTGCTTTACCAATGTCACAGAGCCATCCATTTCTTAAAGCTTCAGCTAGTTGGTGATAAATATGATTTGCTTCAGGTGCTCTTCTCCTTGTAGCTGGAGCAAATCAGATCCTTATTGTGTCCAGGTGTCCTATATACACTGAAAACACTGAAGTCTCATTAAGTGTCATTCACTAAACCCCTTTCCACTGCTGTTTGAGCATTAGCGAATGGTCCTCCGTACTGTGGTTCTAAATGAAGAGCAGTGCATACATATGGCAGTTTACTGTCCTATCCTTAACAAAGCCATGATTACATGGAGATACAGAAGGGGCTGATAAACTGTTTTGAGTTCTCTGCCATTAAGAGAAATGGCACCAAAATAGTTGTAGTGTTGTTTCTAGTTGCAACGGATGAGCAGCCTGGCTCATTAATCCTCCCTATCAGCAGCACATAGCCTGTCTGCACCAGAATAGCCCTGATCTCAGCAAACCTGCATCCAGCCCTGGCCTTCTGTTTTCGACGTATTTGGAAAAGACAAGCTTCCAGCACAGTCCCAAAGGGACTTCCACTTGGCTGGGCTGCCTTTCGGTGGCAGAGATGACCCAGGGCACAAGGGGCTTTGCATGGACAAGAAAGCCAAAGCTGGGGTGATATTCCTGCTTGGGGCAGCGACTGCACCATGGGATGCAAAGTGCTGCCTGCCTGGTGTTAGAGGATGGAGGAAAGTTGTGCAAAGACAGGGATCACAGAGACAGGGCAAGTGCAGATGTGTTGGTACTACTGTTTTGGCTGCTAAACAGGGATTTAGTCTTCTGCACCCATATACTATGCAGATCACCAAGTATTGTGCAGGCAGGAGATTTGGTTTTGGGACACTTTGAAAGCTAGGAATGTTTTCTCC